AGCTGCTGGCCAGCAGGTATTTATGAATATAATTGGGACTTTCCCTTTGGAGGATCCTGAGGACTGATTTTCTAGGTGACTACCGATAATAACAAGTCAAAAACTAAAAAAAAAAAGAAACATATGAAAGCTTATATTAAGAACGAGATTCTAAATAAGATTTTTGCATGTTCTCCACAGAATATTTACTTCTTGACCATTTGTGAACAAATGAGATTGTTCATTTACAGTGTAGTTAGATTGCCTGTTTTCTTCCTTGTATTTACACAAATTTCGTGGTATTCTACCAAGACACACAGTTGGCAAAAATCACCGCTGCCTCCAAAAAAAGCAGTTTTGCACTGTCACCATCTTCTTGCTCCCTCTTCCATGTTATCCATTCTTGGGCAAGCATGGGTGGTATGGTTAACTGGAAATACTTAATCAGGGGTTTTTTCCCCCACTAGTTTTAATCTCGGTTAATTTCCCAGTGCAGTTCATTGCCCAACACACAAATATTTAGGCCACCTAAGGTGCAAGACAGGGAAGGGAACAGAGTAGGAGGAAGCTGAGGCTGCTTCTTTCAGTGGCAATGCTGCCCTAGCTGGCATATAAGGTATCACCAAAATCAAACATATGCTTATCCCAAAACATCCTGTAAGCATACTCAAAAAGGACAGAATAAACTCCCTGAACAACTGATACTGCAGATCACCACTGCAATTGCTGTGCACATCAGCCACATCTGCCACATCAAAGACACAACAGCTTGTACATCTGAAAACGCACAAGACTCGAGTCTCCATTTTTCCAACACATAGCAGCGATTGCTAGCATTTTCCCATCCAGTATAGATAGTTCCAGGTTACTGCAAATCAGTAACTGGAATAATTTATGAAAGTTTGCCATTCTGATGAGTTAGATCCATCTCGAATACATTGGAATTGATACAGATTAGATGCTAACATTGTTTTGTATCTTGTTGGAATATATTTTTTGAGGCAGTAGCATCAAGTAGAACAGGCAACTTTTTTATCCTGCATGCAATAATAGGATTCCTGCTTGTAACTTAACAAAATCTGACTTTGCTGATACACTAATATAGATTTAATCAGCTCGGTCTAGCTAAAATCTTATTAAGATGTGTGTAATGACCACCCAGAGTTTAACTCACACCAGGACTGTGAATGAAAGCTACTACAGAAGAAATTTCCAAATGATCTCTAATAATTTTCCTCAAAATGGCAAAACATCCATCTGAGCTCCATTTTTTGTAAACTTATCATTAGCATCTGCATACAAATATAAGTATCACTGCCTTTTGTGGATGCAGAGTTCAAAACTTTCATATTTGGGAGTTAGAGCTATGAATTGGTCACTTAAATTCTGCAATGACTGACTAATCTGGATTGCCATTACTTAACTTCCACTGATCCTATTATGGATTTTAAGATGTGAATGCCATGCTGATCAGAATTATGCAACCCAACCTCCATAATACAACTATATATAAGTCTTCTGCCACAGACTCAGTCCTGCTACACTCCATGTCCACCCCTGACCACTTCTTTCATCAGAGACATTCATAGACACACATGAAGCCATTTCAAGGAATGGTGAATAAGCAGACTGAGACAAATGTACACTGGTTCAACATTCAGTTATAGCATATGAGAAATGTTTTAGTCCCACTTCATCAAGTAAATATATTTTGTAACACAGAGCTGACTGCTGCCTCATCATAATTACTCCTGGTTAACTGAGCATTTTCAACTCCAATGCTAGTCACAAAAGGACAAAAGCCGATGAGTTTTGGGATGCATACATGTGTGAAAATTACTAAAATACAGAAATTCAGAATACATACTGTTTCACTTAGATACACTTCTTGTATGTTATATGGCTTCCTAATAACATACATTGCCTTCATTTTGCTTCAGCAGTAACTGTTGCCTCCCCATTTCTCATTTCAAAGTCCACAGTTGTCAAAAAGTTACAGCAGAGCAATGGCATTGACATATAAATTAGTTTTGGTAAAGTGCAGCTAAAGAGGCATTGGATATGGGAAAACAGCAAATGCAATGTAAAAAATCATTTTTTTAACCATTTTTGACTTATTCCATATTGGGCATATCTTGTCTCTAGCTAAGGAGTCACCCCTGTACCTATACCAAAAAGTGAGTACGCTTCAGCAGCTCCAGTGCAAACTACCAGAAGTTTTTCTTTTTAGAGGTAACTTTTCCAGGTCATAGAGAGGAAGGCCAGATTTCAACTCAGGACATTTAAATTGTACAGTTTGTAACAAGAGAAAGAAAAGAGGCACAGAATGTGCAAAGAAAGACAAGGTCCCAAAACATGTGGTGCTTGGGACACAAAGTAGTCATTTGTCTGAGGTTTCTGAATATGAGGTTTCTGACACATATGCCTAACCCACTTCTGCCTTGCACAGGCAGGGCTCACATGTACTTCTGACATGAACACTTGCATTGCAAACACCTGATCATTTAATTCTGCTCAAAAAAATCAAACCTGGAAAGCCCCAAAACCAACTGCTGGTCACCAAAAGAACACCAGTACTCCAGGATTGTGTTCTTCAGCCTTTCTAACCTGGGCAGAGGTAAACAAACAAACAGAATTTCAAAATCGAGATGCAGACCAGTGCAGATTTTCTGTTGTCTTCATGATATTGAGATGAAGTGAGAGAAACTGCCTGCAAGACCTCTGATTCATATACTGCACCATGAGACTGCTTGCAGAAGTCAAAGAGCTACCATAGGCAAAGAAGCTGTGAGTCCTTCTCCCCTTACCTCCTTCACACAGACCAATAAGAGTCACAAGATGAGTTCACATTTTTAGTTGACCACCGAATACACATTTTGTTCTTAATACACTCATGAAAACCTTAAGGAGACTGAAATGATTTGAAATTATTTGTGGTATATTACAAAACAGCTCATTTTATTGAACTGCCACTATGAAAATATTTTTCACATTGAATATATTTAAAGAATTAAAATAAAAAAAGGCACATGTAGATTAATGATCTTTTTGTCATCATCGTGTCTCATTCTTCAGGTGCAGTGAATAGAGCTATACCACCATCTGACAGACTGAACTGATTCTTGAGCATTCTTGTACATGATCACATTAATCAACTTATCTTAATCAAAACATCAACTTACAGAATGTTAAATATTTCAGCTTTGAAGACAGAAGAAAATCAGAAGTAAATTTACAGGATCTTTATCAGAGACAGCACGACAGCAGTTTACTGTAATTGTTCCATTATGTTTATGGTAGAACTCTTCTATAGAAACATGGAATTTCAATCCATAGAAATATTGCAATGAACATAAACCATCTAGAAATGCAATGTGCCTTTTCTTGCCTGCTTTGTAAGATAAAAATAGACTGATGTTTAAAATGCTTTAACACCCTGCAAAATTAAAACCTGACTGAAGCTGTACATGCTTAGTGAAAGCAAACAATTTCCTTAACAAATACCCTTCAGAAATGCAATACTGCCCTGCTTCTGTGCATTCAAACAGATGCTGCAAGTTTATAGTCTGGCCTTCAGTGATGTGAGGCACTCCAGGTTCCCTTGATTTCCCATGTTCCTGGCTCTCCCTTCCTTGGAAAAAACAATCAGCTAACAGTAGTGTGGGAATCAGACATTATTATTACCAGGGGATCTTGCCCCATCTTTTTCAAACAGGAAGAGAGAACACTCATTGCCATTCCTACCACACCACCACAACTGGGAAAAAAATCCCCCAGTTACATGAAGAAACGAAATGAGATTACAGTTGACAGAGAAAGCTCTGAGAGCAGCTGTGAAAAAGCGAGGAAGAAGACAAGAAGCTGGGAATAACAAATGTGCATTGGGAAAGTGATGTCTCTTACAGTAGCACTACTGGTTTTGGTTCTCCATGAATTTTGGACAATGAAATATATCAGCTGGAAAGCATACATACAAAGACTAAGCAGGAAGAAATCAAAATCCAACTCACAAACAAAACCACAGTATAATCTTTTATTATAGCCTAATTTACTTGATGGTCTGACTCATGATTTTTGAGTCCTGGGGGTTTGCAGCACTGCTCCACTATTTCATCAGATCAAGCAGCACATTTACCATGTAAGTTCCTGAAAAGGGATTTGGATTTGGTTGCTGCTGTTTCTTGATTTCACTGCGTTACCTGGATCAACTACAAATGTTTGCATTTCGGTGTGCGTTTAGAAAAAGGACAACTCAGTTTACACGCACCCTCCCGCGCCGTCACCCACTTAGAACCGTAGATTTACAGAGTTAAGGAAATAATTACAAAAAGGGCCCCGCTTTTCCACATCTTCGGCGGGGTACATTGGCAACAGCCTCACATGGCATCACTTAAAGTAGCGCAGACCCAGGTCACAGTGACCACTGCTCCCGTTCGCCAGTCCCGCCGCGCAGCCTTCCGGCGGGACGCGGGAGCCGAGGGCGGGCGCTCCGGGGGGAGAGGCCGCTGGCAGCTCTCAGGCAGGGGATCCTGCTTCACCAGACTCCCGCGCTCCCGAGAGACACCTGCACTCAGCCGCTGCGTTCACTTCGACTTAAAAAAGTAGTAAAAGAGTGGGAGCTCAGCCCACGGGCGGAGAACGCAGCGCTCAAACGCGCCCGCCCCGAGCCCCCCCGCCGCTGCAGGCGGACGGACCGGGCCCCTCGCCGCCGGCGGCCCACTCCCTCACACCACTTCCCGGGATGCCCTCCCCGGCCCACAGCGGCGGCCCGGGGGCTCCGCGCGGCCCCGCACCGTGCCCAGCCCACCCGCCGCGCTGTCGCTGCGCCCTCGCCCCAGACCGGGGCCGGCGAGACCGGGGAGCGGCGGCCCCGCGCCCCCCGACCAGGAAGGAGTGGCGGCGGGGCAGCCGCGTATCCCTCCGCGGCGCCGTGCGTGCGTGTAGCGGTGGCGGCTCCGCGGGCCGCGCGTGAGGCAGAGCCGGGGGGAGGGAACTACTTTCAGGAAACTCGGGCGCCGGGGGGAGGGCAGCGGCGGGGAACCGTCCGCCGGCGGGCGCAGGTCAAGGGGATTACTTTGCTGCCCGTGCTCTTCTCCGCGTTCTCCCGCCTCCCTTTCCCCCGTGGTTATTTTGGATCAAGCTGTGGCGGCGGAAGGAGCCTGAAGTCAACGCTTCCGCCCAGTTTTCCTGTGAGGAGGAGGCGGGGGCGGCCGCGAGGAGCCGAGGCGGCGGCAGCGGCCGCTAATGGAGTTACTGCTGGGGAGGAAGCGCTGCCGCTGAACTTCCCTGCGGGCTTTCTCCCTCTTCTCCCCCTCGTCCTGTGGCCGGGGGCTCCTCTCTCGCCCTGGCAGCTCCGCTCCCCCTCCCTCCCCGCGCCTCTTCTCACACAAACAGCCGTGACGCATCCTCGTTCTCCGCCGTCCCCCCCCCTCCCCCCCCCCCGCCGGGCTTCCCCCCCCCCCTTCCCCCCCCCCCCCCCCCCCCCCTTCCTTCCCCGCCTGTCCCGGCCTGTGGCAGCTCCGGTGTCTGGAGGAATTTGTGCCGCCGCCTGCCCCGGCTGTGCGCGGGAGGCGGGCGGGCAGGGAGGGAGGCGGCCGAGCAGCAGGAGGAGGAGAAGGAGGAGGAGGGCAGCGGCGAAGGCGGCTGCAGCGGGAGATGAGCTGCAGCGGGAGGACGGTGCGGTGCAGCTTTTTGCGGCAGGGAACCATTCCTTGTCTCTACAACTCTGTCCCCCTTTAACCGGGAGCAGCTCGAGAACAGAAGATCCGTGGTTGTTGCTGCTGTTTGCACCACTACCTTCACCACCACCATCATCACCTTTTAAGATAAGGGAAATACGCTGCACCGCCGGACAACAGGATTTCGTGTTTCCAGGATAAAGACCGCTCTCCTTCCCCTTTTCCCTTCCTCTCCCTCACTTCACCGCACGGCCCGTGCCCTGGCCGGGGGCGGCGGACCGGGGGGGTAACAATGGTGAAGTTTCTGGTGAGTTCTGGCTGCGCCCTGGCTGCGTCGGTGCTGCTCCGTGTGCCTGTCGGATCGTGGTGAGGAGAAAATGAGCGAAGAGACGGCGACTTCTAACAACGAGTAAGTGGCCGTGCCCTCACCTCCCCTCCGCCCCGGGATCGGGATGGGGATGGGGCTCGGCGCGTCCCTTCGGCTCTGCGCCCCGCGGGGCCTTTGCCCGCGCACGTACGTGTCCTGTCCTACCCCTGCGCGGACTGCGCATTGCTGCTCGCGTTCATGGAAGCCCAGAAGCTCCCTCTTTGTGAAGGAGCTTAGTTGGGAAGGGCTGCGAGCCGGCGGCCAGAAAAGCTTGGTTTAGTTAAAGCCCGATAGAAAACGGTGCAGATAACGATGGTGTCTTGGAGAGGGAGGATGGGTTTAGTATGCCCAGAGAGGTATCAGCACGTACCACCTCTGATAATATCCTATTACTTGTAGATATTTCACATGGAAACTAGTGTGTGGGAGCTTCATCCTGCAGGAAACTGCTCCTGAATTTTAATTGGATGAGTCAGCCAGTGTAAATACAGCTTAAACCTACCCTAAAGCTCTTTTTTTTTTTTCTTTTAATGAGCACTTGTGACTTTTTTTTTTTTTATTTCTCCTCAGGGAGGAAAGGGACAGTTCAAGGATCTCTTAATATTTTTACTGTGAAGGGTTCGAAGGCAATCCAGAGGAGATTGTGTGTGTGTGCGGCTGTATCCCCTTGAATGTAATCTGTCTTTGAAATACGTTTTGGGTCGGAGGCGATAAATATTTGTCAGAAAACATCCGAGTTCTTTATGGCATTGAAAAAGGAATATGAAGTATTTTGAAACTTTTCCTGTGATCGGGAAGTTTAGAGTTGATTGCTGCGGTCTCCGAGCCGTAGCGTTACGATTTGCGATGTCGGGGTTTGCTCGGGCTGATTTTATGAATGATGCGGTGACTGCCGCGGCCATGGCGGTGGAGAGGGAGCGCTGCGCCTGTTGTGTCTGGGGGTAGCGATGAGGGGCAGGGGAGCAGCCGGGCTGCCAGACAGGGTGCGGACGGGGCTCCGCCGGCAGGAAAAAAGGATTTCCCATTTCACTGCCTCCCTCCAGGCAAAGCCTGCACACCTTCCCGTCGCTCCCCCGAAGAGGCGTTCGGGTCCCCGGGGAGTAGCGCGGGCCGAGCCCCGCGGGGAGCGGGGCCCAGCGGGACGGGGCTCGGGGCGCTGCCGCCCGCGGCGCTGAGCGGGCCGAGGGGAGCCGGGCCGGGGCAGCCGCCGCGCCGCCCGCGGGGCCGGAGCCGGGGCCGCCGCCGCCATGTTTCCTTTTTTGTGAATCGCTCTCATTTGCATACCACAATCTCCATTCATAAAAAAAAAAAAAAAATTACAGAAAAAGAATTGCTGTCACCACCGCTGACCTGCGGCGGAACCTGCCCTGCGGAGCGCCCGGAGCGGATGCTCCCGCGCCGAGGGCCGGCCTGCGGCCCGCGGCCGGCGGCGGAAGGTCTCCAGGACCTGCTGTATTAATATGTGCTGTTCGCTGCTTGTTGACACAGTTATGTGGGAAATATCAGCTCGGGGAGGTGCTGGGAGCACGTGATCCGCTCCATTCATAAAATACCTGGCTGTCCATTCACAGTGCAGTACAGTGTCTGCATTCAGCAGCCTCGCAGATCAGACCTGCATGGGAAGGGAGAGGCAGCCAGGCCGGCAGGTTTATCGGAGAAGGCAACAGAAAGAGGGCCTATGGCTGCGAGCGTGGGAAGTCGTTGTAGAAGGGGCTGTGGGGGGGACGAGAAGGCTTGTTTTTATAGTTTAAGTTTGTCCTTTTCCTATAAAGGACCATTTATTCAGAAGTGCCTTCTCACTGTATCGTCTAAGCTAGGAAGAGTTATATTCAGAAAATGTTGAAATATTTTCCCCTCCAGAAATATTGACCAAAAAATACAATATTGAAATTCAAATTCATTATTATTAACGTGCTTTAAAACAGTATATTAATCCATTTGGAGTAATTTACATTTTATTGAACAATACCATCTTAGATATGCAAAATATCAACCTGGTGCAGAAGGGAGTCGGTCATACCTAATGAAGCATCTGAAAATGTTGCCCATCATAAAGTACAAGTGACAGTGAAGACAACTAAATTGAAGAAATCAGCACTGCGGTTCATTTTTGTCTACTTTGAGAATTTTACAGCAGATTAGCAATCATTATTTCTCCTTAATCTATGCCATGGCTAAAGAGACCTCTGAAATATCAGAATACAGGAAATGTTTTTATTATGGCATAAATTGTTTAGAGGTCAGTGTCTTTACTTTGATTTTAAATATATTGAAAATTAAAAAGATAATAAAACTGAATGAAATTTACTGATGAAGAATCCCTAAAGCAGACAATATATTTGTTTGATGTAACTGTTTTGTGGTTGCCGGTATTAAAATGGTGATGTTCGTTGCTCACGAGTACCTGTTTCATTAGCCTAACAAATTACACTGAGGTGATCCTTAATTATACATTCATGAGGTGGAGGAGGCCTGTTGTTACTGCAGCCTAAGAGACTACCTGAAATATTACTAACCTTTACTTAATATGAGAAAGGAAAGCTCACATACAGTATTTGGTTTGAGTTTATTCAGTTATACAACTAAATGTGTATAGTCTTACAAAGCACTGTAAACAGTGATTTTTCTCAAAGAATAGATTTTTATTCTTTTTTACTTCAGTTATTAGAATTTCAGAAGAAAAATAAAAAGTGTTTCTCAGTTGCTCTGCCTTTTTTGACAGCATTTTTGGTGAAGCCAGAGTTGTTATTTCTCTCTTGTTCCTTTTGCACACAGTACAAGCATGTCACTTTAAATGGTTGGGAAATTCGATTGAAACACCAGATAAACCATTTGTGAAAACAGGACAGATCCACAAATGGAAATTGATCATATATTCAAAATTCACTGTGTTTAATTTTATCAGTATCATTGATGGTATCAATGGCCTTGAGCTCATTAACAGATCTTTTGTCATTTAAGAGTGAATACGGGTACTTTGCAGTGCATTTTGTGTCATTGTGGCTATAGCAAATATTCTGGTAATTAAGTGTTATTTGTTCATAAAACTTCATTTTATGGAATAAGATATAAATATTTGTGGTGTCTAGAGTTTGACCTCAGTTAATGATGTTAAATTCTCAGTGGTGGTGGGAAAGATTAATTAAAAAGCTGCATTAAGGACTACAGGTTTCTTCTCGATCATGAACATATGGAAGGCAGCCTTATAAAATTCTCATTGCTACAGATGAGTCTTCATTGGTGATTTTTACATTGTTCTTACAATGATGTTATTGTATTTTTCAGATGGTGTTATGTGACACATTAGTTACTTGGAAGTGTTTCTGTATTTCCAGATAATTTTAGTCTTTTTCCCCCTCAGTGGTGTTTTGCAGTCAGTGTGGACAGCATCAACGCAGTGTGTTCACAAATACTATCAGTTTTTCAATTAAGGAATTTGTAGATTTGTGTTCTCACGGGTTGATTTGCTATTCATGCAACTTAACATAATGTCAAAGCAGGGAGGTCAGTGAGCACTGTACCAAATTCCTGTTTTGGTGGCAGATTTTATTGCTGAATAGAAATGCTACTGAATTCAGTGTTAGGTACAACAGAATTATGTTGTGTAGTCCCCATTCAGTAGGGATGAATGATGACAGGCTTAAGATGGAGTCTGAGTTGTTGCTATTGAAAAGTGGGAACACTGCTTTACTGGCTTGTTTACCTTCCTCTGTATTGCAGGTGGCCACTTTCTTGTGCTCTTGAATTGTATTCAGAGGTGCTTTTACATACTGTATTTTTACAGATTCAGACTGTCATATGCTAATTGTTTTACCACATAAATATGGGTAATCTTATACTCATTTTCCTAGATAATTTAATAAAGAGATTATAAATTAGATGGAGTATATAGTAATGCTGTGTGCTTAACAGCCTCTAGATTACGAAGCTATAAACATCTTCAAGTGTTGATTTGAGAAGTAAAGCTGAACTATATTTTTAAATAAGGTACTTGTTTATGTTTTTCTTCAGTATATACAAAAATACTGTTTGTACTTCATTTGTGATTCAGAATTGTGTTGAATTTGTATTACAAGCTAAGATACTGAAAGAAGAACATGAAATTGTATCGCATAAAGTAATGCTAATTTAGGTTTATTGGTTCTGGGAGGATTTTAACACTTTTCAGCAGGCTAGTATTCTTTCTGCTGTTTGGGGCATATATAGACTTATAAATTTTTCATCCCTTAATGAAAGGAATTTGTAAAAAGAAGTAGTTCTTTTTAAGGAAAGCATCTTTTAACCCAATTGATTGTATTAAATCATTGCAATTCTGATGTATTTTCTTTTGAGAGAATGTTTCCTTATAGAGTCCCTGGGAAGCATTTCCAGTCTTATGAATTGCTTCTTGCTGTCTGTTTGGCTTTATGTTATGTGACGCTATTTTGAAGGTGAAACTGAATTTGCATGTTACATAATCTGAGAGTCAGTCTGGTGTGTTTTTATTGGTTTTTTTTTTAAAAGGTTCACTCTAGCAACAATCTTTGATTACTGTGATACTGCAGAAAAATGCTTTTGGGATGTTGCAGCATAACTGGAGCCAGCAATAATATTTGAATTAAAGAATGATGAGTGTTTCCCTTGTTTGTTCATTTAAAATTCAATGCTCTTGAAGTGTTAAAGTGACAGTGAGGATGTCAGTGCCTTTTAAAAGTAGAGACCTTTTAAAAGGAATATATCCTGGCAAGATTGGAAGTCACAGGATTAAAGCTGAGGGCAATATGGTAGTTTTTAGGCTAAACACTGGCAGTTTTGTTTGTTATTTACCCATTCTTGTGTATATCTGGAGAAATTGTATGTATTGGTGATGACTTGATGGGATTACAACAAACACCAGAAATAAAAAATACTTTTCAGAGTATTGATACAAGCTTAAAAAGGAGGCAGAAGAAATAATTTTGTCTTTTTCTGGTTTTCATTCCCCTGATTCAAAACAAGTAACTATGATAGGACATACTGTGTATGTTGTCTTAAATGCTGTTGTTCAAATGTTTAAATGTCTG